AACACAGTAACAAAATCTCGCAGCCTACCTTGTATTTAAGTCATCCTGTTGAAGAAAATTACTAAACTATCCATATATACCATCAAAATGTTTTTTGTTTATCTTAACTGAACAAAAATTACTTTCTGTAAGCTGCAAAAACATTTAAAGAGATGAATTTTCTGCCTCTGACAATCCAAACTGGAAATAATTAATATCTTCAATCTCATTTGATTGATGGATTAAGGTGTAGGTTAACACTTCACAAGTTATTACTGTTAAGTTCGCCTTCAGAGCTGTTCTTGCAACTCGGAATATTCTTGGATAAAGCAACCTTAATGAGTTTTTCTGACTTGCATTGTCAATGTATTTGTCTTTCATTTAGACACTGAGCATTTACAATCCCGAGAGAGCAAAGGTGACTAATGTAGAAACCCCCTGCAAAATTCTGGGTTTGCGTTTGTGCTCTTTACTAGGGGACACAAAAGCAACTAAAATCAATCTGCTGCACCCATTGAAATATTTTAGATATTTGTATTCCTCCCTATACTAATTCAAACTATCTTTTGTTTCCTAGCGCCTTGCTTGGCATGATGCCTCACTTTTGGCTTTGATATTGAACGTTCGCCCAGGCGAGGAAGGCAATGGACTCTGTCCCCATGTGGGGACATACCAAAGTCCTTCAAACCGATTGTTGTTATGCCCTGTTTAATGTTCGGCATTAAGGGTGGTGGCAACAACTCGTTAGTATAATGTGACCGGGCTTCAGAATGCTGTGTTAGGTATTTGGCATGGTATTTCAGTGAGGTTGCACTTTGGAGTCGGCATCAGATCCGCACTATAACGAGGAGGCAAATACATTAACATACCCTTCCTCCAGCACACATGGAGGCATGTCTTTAAATGACCTTAGCTGATAATTTGATGTGACACCCTGTACACCCAAACAACTCTAGATAGCAACACTGGTGCAGTGTAAAGAAAGCTAAGATCCAGAGTTCAACTCACTGGAATAACTTTTATTCTTTATTGATAATCATTATTTTTGTTTCCAAATCCTCAAACTTTAAACAACTGTAATTTAATGAAATTATTCCAATTAGAAGCTGTTTTATGATAAAACAAGAGGCCCATGGGCCTTAACGGTCACCTGATATATTTATACAGAGAGTTGATTTCGTTTTTAACATGAACAGAAATATTATTCAAAGTGACAAAAAACAATAAAACCACCTTATTCAATATCAAGCATACAGATTTCAGACTAAAAAGGATTTGAAACTAGCACCTCTGATTCTAAACAAGGAAAATGAAGAAATTTTAGCACACTGACTCCCTTGAGCCCCACCCTACAGCCCTTGGGGGTAGGGCTGGCTCAAAATTTTCAAAGTATCAAACTGTCAACTCAAGGTTATAATTCCAATCAAGTTATTAACATGTAATATTCAAA